GCTTTTCGGTGAAATCATTGGACAAGACGAGCCCGATAAAGGGGGTGTCACGGTCGGGGTGGTTTAAGGGGAGTTGCGTGGTGTTGGGCACCATTGCTAGTAGGATGCCCATAACTAACGCCACCCCTAACATCTCACGAGACATTTTGGTTTTTGCACGTATGATAAAAATAATTGTGTTTTGCTAAGCTTACTAGATTCGACTTGCTTTGTTGTGTAACTTATGTTGGTGAAGTGCAACTCTACAAATGTGTTTATATTGACATATAGTGGGTCCTACACACTCATTAGTCACAAGACTCATTACTTTATCCAAAATGTGCATTCATATTACTCCATCGGTTTTTTTTAAGCTAAACTTTGGATTGTATAGAGTTTTTGGATGTTTAATTAAATAGTGGGTTAGATAAAATTATTATTTTATTGAAAGGAAAGTGGTGTCATGGTGTGTTAGAGGACCAAATTAATCAAAAGTTTAAGCTGATGATTGAAGCCCACCCATACCTAGCGCGAATTAATTCCACTTTGAAGAAGGGGTGGATGAGATTCGAACCCTTAACCTCTATGTCACGTTGGCTCCGGTACCATGTTAGATGACCAAGTCAACCAAAAGTTTAAGCTAATTTAATAACGTGTCAAGTATTGTGGGACGAATGAAAATGAAAAATATGTCAAATATTATAGGACAGAGGAAGTATATTACTTATAATAAATTATAAGAGATTTCATTTAAAAATGGACCAAAAAAAGCAAAAATAAAAAATTGGAAAGAATATATCCAAAGTGAGCATAATTTGTACCCTTTCAAAATTTCAAAATCGGAACCAAAACCTTTAATGCTGTACAAAATGACTCCCTAACCTGGCCTCATCTCTCATCCCTTCTTTTTTGAAATGGATTGCAGATTTGCAGTTGCACTGTTGCAGGTACATACAAGTATGTCTCATGAATCGTGATACACGAGTCGTGAATGACGTGGGATTCCATTATTTAGTTGCTTTTATTTCGGGACTGTAGTAGGCTAGTAGCAAAAGTCATCATATTATTGTCAGAATATTTATAAAAATATCAAAAACGATTTTTTGATGAAGACATTGATTATTATATTAGACTAAATGTTAAAAGTGCATGATGCTTTTGTCATGTGCTTTTATCACAGTTGATTCAAATTTACTCCCTTTGATTTTAAATAATTGCTCTATTTTTCTGTACAGATTTTTAGAAGAAATTAGAAAAAATAATAAAATACGAAGGTATTAGAGCAAGGGAAAGAAAAAAAAAATTGTAAAAAGAGCAAAAGTAGTTGAGAAAATTTGGGGAGAAAGAATATGAAATTAATAAAATATGATTTATATTGGGTTCATTAGGTTAGAGAAATGAATTAAACTTTTTAAATAAAAAAATTGAGCAAATGTTTAAAAACAACCGGAAAAAAAATAAAGCAAGTATTAAAAAATAATCATTGGTTCATGCAGGCGCCGGTATGTTGCATCATACAGCCGTACCGTTTAACATGAAAGAACATAATATAGGAAAGTCAAGAACATAGTATAATAAAAAGAACATACTATTAAAATGTGATGAACATATACCTAGAGTGAATAGAACATAGTATTAAAATGCAATGAACATATACCCTCAGTTAAAAAAAAAACATATTTACACCAAAAAAGAGGGAAAAGAACATATGTTCATGTTCTTTGATTGTCAGAATAATGTGCTTTTATTTGTGACATAATACTCATTGCTTATTGTTAAATGTTCTTTGAATTTTGTCTTTAAATTATGGTGGGTCGTATATATTAATAATGTTCATTACATAATATTATCATGTTCTTTATTAATATTACAGTTGTTCTTTAGATTAAAAAAACACAAAACTAGATGTTCTTTACAAAACATTTATATGTTCTTTACAAAACAGTTGTATATTCTTTACAAAACACCTACATGTTCATTCCGTGTTTTTTGTCTGTACTAAGCATGGTACAGTCACCTGTATCTTAAAACTTTCAATTAAAAAACGGAGGGAGTAACATATGATTCATACTCGAATAATAATAATAATCTATAATCTTGCCATTTGCACACGTGTTTTGGAAGGTACATACAAATACAAAGATATACTCCCTACGTTTTAAAATACTTGCTTCACTTTTTTTTTTAGGAAAAATGGAAATTAAAAATCCAACCTTTGCGCGGTCTGACAATAAAAATCCAACCTTCGTTTAATCTCAGAAAAATTCAACCTTTATACCCCACCTTCTTTCACAGATCCGTTTGACCTTGAACCTGTTAAACAGGTTAAATTTTTTTTTTCCCCTTTTTTTCTTTCTCCTTCCTCCTTCATCCTTCCTTTTCTTTCCTTCTCCTCCATAATTTCCGGTCACCAACCATAATCACCCAACCACGACCACCTAGAACCCACACCCTAACCCCTCCCCCCCAAAATTCGAGCCACCCTAATCCCTCCCCCATGAAAACCGACCACCCCAACCCCCTCTCCCATGAAAACCCGACCACCCTAATCCCCAAATCGACCACCCTAACTCCCTCCCCTACAAAATCCGACCATCCCTCCCCGTCCCTTGCAAAATTCGACCACCCCCTCTCCCTTGAATTAATTTATGTAAAGTTTTTTTTTTTTTTTTTTGAAATTGGATTGGATTAAAACCATGTAAATGGCTAATTAGGGGAACCGATTTCAGGTGGTGTTACGGGTTTCAGCAAAAGGGGATTGGATGGGTTAATGTTTTTCAGGCGAAATAGGGGAACCGATTTCAGGTGGTGGTCGGTTTAGGGTCGGGACAGGGTAGGGATTAGGGTCGGTTTAGGGTCGCCGGAGATGGGTGGCTAGCGTTGCGCGCGCAGGGGAAGGGGAGTTGCTCGCCGGGGAGGGAGGGGGAGAAGGAGTGGTGGCAGGGGAAGGTGGTAGTGGTGGCAGGGGAAGGTGGTAGTGGTGGCAGGGGAAGGTGGTGGTGGTGGAAAAGGGGATTTGATTTTTTTTTTTTTGTTTTATTTTTTTTTAATAATTAAAAAAACAATTAACCTATTAGTAGCTGACACGTGGCATGTAACTTACAAAAACCGGTCATCAACAGGTAATGGATCTTTAAATGAAGGTGGGGTATAAAGGATGGATTTTTCTGAGATTAAACGAAGGTTGGATTTTTATTGTCAGACCGCGCAAAGGTTGGATTTTTAATTTCCATTTTTCCTTTTTTTTTATTTTCGATTGTTTTTAAATATTCACCCCATTTTCTTATTTGGAAAGGTTTATACACTATTTAATTCAATTCTCTCAATTAGTGGATTCACACAACAGCTTTGACTCACTTTTGTAGTTTATAGATACCATAAAACATATTTATCTGGGATCTTATTTGAATCGTTTAAATGTATATTTTATTAATATCTACTTTTTATAAATCATAATATTGGTAATCAGAGATATTAATCGTTGAAAACATGCGCTGACAAATGTGATAATAGAAATGTGTCAACTTAAAAAAAACAGAGGAACTATTTTATTACTCCGTATTTCATATTCTCTCCCCTCCAATTCTCTTATCACTTTTACTTTTCATAAATTTTTTTTCTTCCACCTACCCCACTACCTCAATATTTTATTAATTTCACCAATTTCTCCTAAAATTCCGCATATAAAAAATGGAACAAGTATTTAAAAATAGAGAGAGTAAAAAGAAGATAACAAGGTGTGAAATATGGATTGAAAAAGATGGGAAAAAAAAATAATAATAAAACTTGATTGATTAAAAGTAAATATTAAAATTAGACAAAAAGCTAAAGTTGAATGTACTATAAAAATAATTGAAAATTAAGGGATATTTATCATGATGAGGAGAGGTATGTAGTAAATTCTTTATATGAGCCCCTAGCTACGTGTAGTGGTCTAACATTTTGATTGAAAGTTGAATTTTTTTTTTTTAACCTTGTACTCCCTCTATCCTTATATCTTTTGCCCTATACAGCTATTTTTTTTTTATAATTTTGATTAAATAGTGTAGTCATGCAGAATTTTTATTAAATTTGGGTAATTGTATACTTTATTAATATCAAATTTTTAAAATTTTTACACTTATATAATGGAGATATATACATTTTAACATATGTCTTAAACACCGTAAAAAGTCATATAGACTAAAAAAAAATAGAGACAAGAGGAGTATATCCAAATATTAACATGCCAAATCTGAGCATCTATCGCTAAAAACAATGAATTTATATAATTAGTAAATAGAGACAAGCGGAGTATATACCTGTCAATACTTTTTTGGTGGAATATTAGTCAATATTTGCATGTGCATTTATTTACTACTCCGTACGTATTTAGATTTGGTTCATCATTTTACAACTTACTTTACACACCTAGCTAGTAATCACAAGAGCACAAAAACTTTTAGGCCTTGTTTAGTCCAATTAATTTTTATTTATTTCATAAAAAATAAATTTAAATCAAATCACTGTTTTATGAGTGCTTTTTTATCACAGTATATCTTAGATTTTGTAATAAAAAAATTATAAAATTAATAAGTATTTATTATTATGAAGTTAACAAGACCACACTTGATGTATTTTTTATTTGTAGTTTATCGTACACATAAGGTTAAAGTTTGGACAATTCAGACAACTAGATTATATCAGATCAGATCACATAAACAAAATTAAATAAGGTGAAATGAACTAAACAATCCTTTAGTATATATAAATAATAAATCTTAATACTCCTATAGTGAATCTCCTTAAAGTGGCATGTAAATATGTAGTTATTGCTTTGTAGGTTTTATTTTCATAACATGAGCGTGAAAAGATCATAATTTTTGTTATTTTAGAGGTTGAACGTATTATATATATTATTTTATATACATATTCAACGTAGTAATAATTTTTTTTCAAATAATTCCAATCAGGAACTCCAAATTTTTTGTTTTGGGCAGATCAAAAACTCTAATATTAGGAAAAAAAAAAAGCGAAATGTGTAATAGAGGGGCCAATAACTTGCATAGTTGCATAGACTTCACTCAGTATCATACAAAGCTAATTACGGAGTACAATGCTTTGGTAGGTCAAAGTTCTAAACACCATAACCTAGAATTTTCTTCCTCTTGACCCTTATTATTAAAGCACTTACTACATAGTCCATACTTGGCTAAACAGCTAGCAAGAACACTCAAAACAGTACACTTCACTAGTACTTGTACTTAATCAAAGGTAGCTGATTAGCCAGTAATTCAACAAACTTAGAAGCCACTTTGAACGAATTTTTTGTTGCCAAAGCACTAAGTTTTTTGTCATACGGCATTCCTGGCTTGTTCGAGGCACCACGAAACACGATATGTTTCACTCCATTTGCAACGGCAGTCTGTAACATCATAGAGTAATTAACAATCAGTTGAGTTACACGAGTAAATATTTAGAGACGGAGGAAGTAACTAATAGTATATATGTAAGTAAGTACGTTAGACTTAGAAAACTCACCGAAACTACGGCGGCACTTTTTCTGTCAACGGTTGAGACGTTGAGGTGCTTGTTGAGGAATTTCCCGTAAGCATGGTTCAACACATACGCATCGGACGATGCGCCTTTAACACGATACACAACACTAGGTACATCCTTGGTGCACAACCTCTCTTCAGTGCAGCTCTCTAAATTTATATCCTAAAATTGAACCACACACTCTTTTATTATTAGACCTATTGAGTTTATTTTTTTATTTATTTTGTTTTTAATAAATAAAAATGGACCGCGTTAGATTGTACAAAAAATCAAAACATGGTTAGACCTAAAAAGATCACACAAACCTATCTAACCTATCTCGATTTTAAGGTTGGGTTTGTGTTTATTGTGTCCATGTACTGACTCCGTCTTCTTTTAGAATAAGGCCACTATTTTTACCAAATTAAATCCCAACTCGGTTCAGTCCATAATTAATCACGTCTATATATGATATTCTTATGAATGATAGGATTAATGTTGTTCGTAATAGATTTAGGTGAAAATTAGGTTGAAATTACCTTGAGTTGAGAAGCCATTTCAAGCCATTCAGGATCAATGTAATACCAAAAGGTTTCCTTGTTTGAACCTTTAGGTGTGTATTTTTTTATCTTTAGGAATTGTAAACTTCCCAACTTATTATCTCCTGCTTCTGGAACATTATAGTCTCCAAATCTTAGTGATGGTAGCTCATTGGAAGTTTCTATTCCACCTTCATATTCCTGATGATTGTCCAAAGAAATTAATTAATTCGAGTGTGAAAAAGGAAGGAAAAAAATAATGATTAATTGAATTAAATACTTTAATTACATTTCCACGTACTTTTATATTTTTGGTCGAATAAAATTGATGAAAACATATATTAGTATAAAGAGACGGAGGGAGTATATATTATATGTACAGTACGGAGTACAAACGTAGTATACCTTCCAGGTCCAAGCACTAATAAAGGATGTTTTATCTAGCACAGCAACATCAGCAAGTTTCACTGAAGGACTAACAACGGCCGCGTTTCCTAAATCGATGATCCCCAAGATATGGAAATGATCGACCAGGATTTGTACTGTTGCACTTACATGAGCCTACAATTACAACAATAGAAGAATAAAAACGAGTTTACCATCATAGATCAGAGTAACTTATAACACGAGGTTTAAATTTTCTTGTTATAGCCTTGAGTTAGCCTCCTTTTTGGACCGTTGTATTAAAAAAAAAAAAAAATAGTCCCCGACTCACTTATTGGATATGTTATCCATGCTTAGTTGTTCACAAAGGCAAACCGATTCAATGCATATTCCAACAAAATATTAAAAAAAAAGTAATTTTTTTAAGGAAACAATTTAATTAAAGGTATTGTACTAGATAGTTCTTACTAGTGGACTAGTAGAGACAACATAGATGGTAGGAACACCGTTGAAGGTACCAATGTTGAATGTTCTTCCGGCTATTTGAATTAAAGAAGTTTCGGGTTCAGGGACGTACAAGCCTGAATCCAAAAGGAGCTTCTCATAGGAAGAGCCGGATAAGATGAGCCCGATAAACGGACCATCAATGTCGGGGCGGTGTAAGGGGAGTTGCATGGTGTTGGGCACCATTGCTAGTAGGAGCCCTATAACTATTGCCACCCCTAACATCTCACGAGCCATTATGGTGTATTGATTAATTGTGTTTTGCTAAAGTTTACTTGACTTGACTTGCTTTGTTGTGTTAGTGAAGTGCAACTCTACAAGTGTCCTTATATAGAACTATGGTGGGGCTTTCCTACTCTTTTATTTACATCACATAGATAATTTTGTATTTATTTTTTTTTTTTTTTTTTTATTACATAAGGTCTATATAATAAGATAGGAGGAAATTCAAGTTTATCTCCTAGATAAACCGCTAGTGTTTATCAATAGGTGTTTCAGTAAACTCGCACGACAAAAAGAGGGTATAATATATAATACCTTCAATCTTAATAGTTCGACTCACTTACTATTTACGTGGTCAAAATAAAATAACTTTGATCACATTTTATGATTTCTACAATAGAAATACATTAACATGACATAAAGTAGAGAGGAAAAAATATCTAATCGTTGCAAATAATACGTAACGGGGGTAGTATTAGATTTTATCAACTTTTTATATTTCGTATATAATTTTCACTTATGCTGTACATAGTTAAAGATATTCATGATCAAAGATGTTTATTGAAGATCGTGAATATAGCTATTGTGGTAAAAAGTTTCCAAAATTTAAACATTTTGGTAAAAGACTCGTCTTTTTACTCCGTATATGTTAAGCATCGTCTTTAATTAAAAGATCAATCTCTTTTAGATTTTCTTTTATAGAAAAAGATGAAAAAGGACGGATAAAGGATTCGTGTAACACATGTACTGATGCACATCAGTTATCACATTTGTACTATCAATTTTAAACTTTCAAGTTTCAACAAAAACTGGAGTAATAAAAGTCTTTATCTAATTTCTTTTTAAAATCACATAAACTATGGTTGATTAATTGATTGTATAATTTTCCTGAACTAATGTTAGACTATTAGCATAATACATTGATTAGATATTTCATTACTGCGTTAAAAGTTGATGCAGATAGAGGAAGAACATTTTCATTCACATTTTATTATTTACTTAGTTTTAATTTTCAGTCTTATTTATTTTGTTTGGACATTTTAATTTTTTACACTATTTAAAAAGGAAAAAAAAATGTGATCTTGTTAAATTCATTCATGTAAGTATATTATTTACTTTCTCCGTTTTTTACTATGTATTATTGTACCATATAAGTTGGACACAATAATTTTGATAGTGAAAATAAAATAAAATTATATAGACTTTATTAGAACTTAAAACTTTTTTCTTATTTAATTGGAGGCCGGTTATTAAATTAGCTAGATTTGACCAAATCAAACCTAGCTCACCGAATAAAAACCCAAGTTTGGGCATATATTATATTTAGGCCTGATTTTCCAAAAATAGAGGGGTTGGGCATCGTAAATTTAATTCGGAGTAAAAAAAAAAAAAAAAAAACATTTAAGTTAAAATTTTGATTCTACTTGATTTTGGCCTGAAAAGCCTACTACTTTTAGCCCGAAAAATCCGCTTTCGGCACAATTTTTTACCTAAAGTAGGCCTAACCCAGCTTGAAGGCTTGGCTCGAAATAGGCCTTTTTTTAACAAAGTCCGGCCCAACTTTTAATCACCTTTATAATCAACCCTTAAACATACTACGTAAATATAAATAATCGGATGTGCAATAAAATATTGTACATCCGCTACAAAATTACCTTAAAATAATCAAAAGTTAATCTTTATTGAATGAAAGTTACCTAGTTTATATAAGTATATAAGTTATCCTGATATAAATAAAAGTTATTTATGCTTTATTGCTATGCGTAGTAAATTACCCCAAAAAAGAGTAAAAGTTATCCTAAATTAAAACAAAGTTACCCCAATGTACAGTAATATTACTATACATCGGATGTATACAAAAGCTTTTCTAACTTATCATCAAAACTTTTTGTACCTTAAATTATTTATTTATAACTTCCTTGTTATTTGAGTGAAAAAAAAACCACCTTTATACTTCCTCCGTTTTTTTTCCGGTTGACATCATTTGACCTTTACACTATTCATAAACTATAATTTGACTAGGTTTTGTGATTTATAGTTTCAATATAATATAGTCAAGTGGGATTTTGTTTGAATCGTCTCAATATATATTTACTAATATCTACTTTTTATAATTTTTGAATATCGAGAATTAGAGATCGATATTAATCGTTAAAATGGTGTATTGACAAGTGTGATAATAGAATGATATTAAATAAATAAAAACGGAGCTAGTATAATATAGCAATTAAAAATCAACTATACTACCGACAATGTAACTAATATTATTAACAACCACAAAAACATTTGATAAAATAGATAGGCTCTTCATTCATTTTATTATCCTACAAATGAAAGTCGGGTAAAATGCTTAGTTCAAAGCTCATACACCATAACCTTGATTTGTCTTCGCTTAGGCCCTCTTTATTTTGGTACTTACAACGACACACCTACGTACAAGCTAGACATGGCAAAGTACGTAGCAAACATACACACAAAAACACTTCAAATGTACTTGTACTTGAGCATAGGTAGTTCATTAGCGAGTAACTCAACAAACTCCGAAACCACTTTGAACAAGTTCTTGCTTGTCAAGGCTTTAATTTCATTGTCTGATGATGTTCCTGGCTTGTTCGACGCACCACGGAACACAATGTGCTTCACTCCATTTGCAACGGCAGTCTGCAACATCAAATATGGTACAACAATTTATGTTACATGATGAGTTAGTTTTACCGTGAAAAGTATACTTGATTATAGTATTACTTGAAAGAATGTATTATAGTTGAGGAAAAATTTGTAGATGGTTAAATTCAATAACATATTTTTTGTAAGTTAATTAGGATAATAATTCTAAGAAAAAAGGTTTGATTGTACACTTCTCTAGCTCACACATTATCTTATAGCCTTAGAAAACTCACCGAGACAGTGGCAGCGCTTTTCCTATCAACGGTAGAAACACCGAGTTCCTTGTTTAGGAACTTCCCGTAAGCCTCATTTTCCACATACGAATCCGAAGATGATCCTTTAACATCAAATTTAACACTTGGTACGTCCTTTGTGCACAACTTTCCGTTAATGCAGCTTTCAAGAGTAATATCCTGAAATTATAAAATTAAAGCATACAATCAATTTAATTTCGATTAATGTTGAGCCAATGAGAAAAACCCACATGTGAGTGAAAGTGTTGTCCCACATTGAAAGAATATAAAAGTGAAGAGAAATATTGGGATGTGTACCCCACATTGAAGAAAAGAGAAAGTCTTGTCCACTTTATAAGGCTAAGGGGCTACTCCCCTCATTGCCATATGGTTTTGAGGTGGAACCTCCTTAGTCGTATAAAGTGGACAGTTGTGACGGGTGTGGCCCAGACCCGTTTATCAATTAGAAACTATTCCTTTGTTACACATAATAATTAACGGAGGTAGTATTTTTAATGTGATTATACTATGAATCGTAATGTAAAGTACATAGATTTCGATATGTTTAAGGTATACCTTGAGTCGAGAAGCAATTTTAAGCCATTCGGGATCAATGTAATACCAAAAGGTTTTCCTGTTAGAACCTTTAGGTGTGTATTTGTTGATAAACTTGCTAGCTTGTTCTCTCCTGCTTCCGGAACGTTGTAGTCTCCGATTTTCAATGATGGAAGATCATTCAACGCTTCCATTGATCGGCCTCCATATTCCTAGAGGCAGTGATAGATCGTTTAATCAATAAACGACCTTATTATTATTGCATCGCAAATCATGCACACATCTATACTTTCTATATTAAAAAGCATTTCTAAAAATATTAATATGTCACGTGTATTTATTCTTGCACTAGAATCACGCCACTTCCGATCATCATTCACAATCTCTATTTCACGTCATAATTGACCAAAAAGTCATGCAAAGAGGTTTGAGTACTAGAACTTTTTTTTTTTTTTTGAAGGGGAGCACTAGACCTCCTTTAACAAAGACAACACTCAATACTATCTTATAGCTACAAATAATTCATGTTCTATAAATCTAGAAAAATATATAAATGCATGCATATTAAAATAAATCATAAAAGTAAAAATAATACAAAATAATTTGATGTTGTCATAGTATTATGATTTATTGACAAATAAAATACTACGTACAACAAACCAAGTCTTTCAAGTTCTGTAAAGAAAAAACATCCGGTACATGCGTGGGCCAAATACTGGTTTGTTTATTATGTAGGGAACATAAATGAGTGCCATTATTACTTTTTTGAGTGCCCAAGATCTTCAATTTTATTAAAAAAAAACATGTGATGGTATTAAACGTCAACTTCATTGAAGGTATTAAGGACAACTCTTAGCTTGGCTATCCCGTTGTTAAGCTGTCCTTTTCACTAACATAAATTAAATTGTCTATTCAAAAAAAAAAAACATAAATTAAATTGTCATTATTATTATTATTATTATTATTATTATTATTATTATTTCTAAATTATAAAGAAGTATGGAGTACTTAACATTTGTTTACTTATATAGTTATATATTAGGTTTAACTACCACAAGTTCACATATGTCCTGTCATTATCTTGTTATAAATATGTACGGAGTAACATCTTTTATACATTGAGAGCAAAATGATTAAGTTATTGCACGTAGAAATTAAAAGGTGTAGTAGTATATACCTCCCAGGTCCATGCACTAATGAAGGATGTTTCACTAAGCACTGCAATATCAGCAAGTTTTACTGATGGGTTAATCGATGCAGCGTTCCCATAATCGATGATCCCTACAATTGGGAATGTGTCGACCATCATTTGGACTGTTGAGCTTACATGAGCCTACAAATTATGAGAGAAATAAATGTTATTAGCAGTCGTAATAATAATCAAGTTACATTCTTGTAGAGTTAGAAGGTCCAAAACACGGATAATTATGTGGTAGTCATCCTTCTTTCAATTTGAAAATTTGGTACATACTCCTATGCCGAGGCTATGCATTGGTCTCACCTTAGCTTTTCTAATCAGGCAACACAATACATATAGTTGATCATAGTATTGCTACTAATAAGGTTTGTTTTGGTCATGATTTTTTTCTATGTAGTAACATCATTTGTTTTTTTTAAAAACAGTTTATATCTAC